CTGGATGCAGCAAAAGCCTCCCCGCTGCTCAAAATAACAGCAGAGGTGCTCGAGGCCATCCTCAAGAATGTCACCGACAAGGCAGGAGGTCTTGATGGGCTCACCTATGCTGCCCTCAAAAACCTCCCTGGACCGGCCTATGAGCAGCTCACCCAAGTCCTGAACTTGGCTGAAACCACAGGAGTGGCGCCACAGCACTGGCAGGCGCACCATGTGGCACTCCTGCCCAAAAATGCTGACATAGAAAGGCCCATAACCCTCACATCCATCACCTATCGGCTTTGGTGCTTCTGCAGAGCACAGGTCGTCAAGAAATGGATGCGAGAAACTGCAGAGAGGTTCCCATGGGATAAAGCCTCCCCGGGTAACACTTGTCTAGAAACAGGCATGCAGAGACTCCTGAGAGGAGAGGTTAGCCGCGCAGCTAACAAACATGCCTGTGCGGTCCTGTTGGACCTGCAGACTTTCTATGACAGTGTTAATTGGACCAAATTGGAGGAGCGGATAGTGGCGACCGGCTTCCCGCCAGCTATAGCCCTCCTGGTCATGCAAGTCTACCGGGGAACGAGATATCTCGTGGCAGAGGATCTCCTTTCGGAGGGGATCCTCCCTGCGAGGGGCATCCTAGCCGGGTGCCCGTTCGCAACAATGATGGCAAGGGTTTACCTCCAGCCAATAATGCAAGAAGCCGCTCAGCTCCGCAGTATCACCGCCCTAGACACCTGGGTGGATGACATTGGAGCGGATTTCGAAGCACGATATCCTGAGCAGGCAGCGTTTGCGGTCTATGAAGGTTACAAAACCCTTCGCCGGCTTCTGGAAGGTAGCGACCTCCGTTTGTCCCTGAAGAAAACAGGCTTCCTGTGCACCACTGCAGAAGCCAGAAGGGAGCTACAGAAGCTGCGCAAAGATGGGGACCCGGCTATCTGTGATAGCGTGAAGGATTTAGGCCTGGACTGTGCCCTGGGTCGGGTCCGGAGGGTCAAGGTGCAAAGAGCCCGCAAGCACAAAGCGGGCCAACGGCAGAAGAAGTTGAAACAACTGAGAGTCCCGGGTGTGCCGGCCAAGGTTCGCCTCTTCAGAGGAGGGGTTGCCTCCGTCCTTACTTGGGGCCACCAAGCCCAGGGAATGCCGCCCACACGGAGACAGAAGCTCCGGACTGCCTTGGCTGAGCAGTGTGGCAGACAGAAAATGGGCAACCTAGAGGTGGCTCTGTCCTCTGTAGGCGACAGGTACCAGGATCCGGGTCGCACAATGATGGTCCAGCAAGTTGAGGCCTGGTTCCAGCTTAAGAAGCGCTGGGTAGGAAAGGAAGAGCTGCTGGAAAGAACCTGGGGCCTTACAGTCCAAAAGCTGGAAGAAGCCAGCAGCCGGTGGCAAATGGTTAAGGGCCCTCTTGCAGCTACAGTTGCATACCTGCTTGGCCTGGGTTGGCAGCCTAGAGACAGTGATGAGTGGCTGGACACCCAGGGCACCAGGCACACCATGCACACCCCACAGCAGGAGTGTCGTGTCCTTGACCTCCTCCAGCAAACTTATCAGGAAGAAGTCGACCGCCGCATCGCCACCGGCCTCGCTGCTCCTGAGCTAAAGGGGGGAATCGACTGGACAGTGGGGAGAAAACTGTTGGGGGGTTTTAAGAAAGAAGGGCGAACCACGAAAGCAGCTGCCCTGAGGTGTGTTTGGCAGGGTGCCCTGGTGTGCAGCCAGAACTCTGCTGTCAAAGTGTGCCCCCGGTGCCACCAGGAAGCGGACTGGGAGCATGTGCTCTTGGATTGTGCTTGGTGGGAAGCCCAGAACTGGGAACTGCCAACATGGTTCCAAGAAGGCAGGGCCCAAGGCCCGAGATCGCTGTGGACCAGGGGCCTCCCGCCCAAACCCAAATGGGAGGTACAGCCTCCACAAGAGGACAATCCCATCTTTCTGGGTATATGGGCAAACAAAGAGGCCCTGAATGACCCGGAGCTTGTGTATGGCACAGATGCTAGTGGTGGCCCCTACACGGCGGACCCGAGACTCCGGCAGGTGGCATATGCAGTAGTAGCCTGCAAGAAACAGGGCCAAGAATACGTCCAGGTAGGAGCAATCGTAGGCCAAGTCCCTGGATCACAGACGGTTTTTCGGGGGGAGCTGTATGCCGTTCTGCAGCTGGCCCGTTATACCGAAGGCCCTATTGACACGACACTAGACTGCCTTGGTGTCCCCAAACGAGTCCGCAGCCCAAAGCCGGGCAAGACCCACGGTGACATCTGGTGGGAGCTGCAAACCACTGATGTCAACCGCCTCAAAATGAAATGGGTTCCATCCCATGTTTCAGAGGAGGAGTTCCTCCGCCATGGGTGCGGAAAACTCGTGGAGACAGCAGGTCAATGACCTGGCGGACAAGCTGTGTGGGGAAAAAGCGGCCGAGCTGGCCCACCCTGATGTCCGGGCAGCCAGTCAGTACCAGGACCATTGCAGCAAAAAAGCACAAGAATTCCTGGCGAGCAGGGCGGAAAAGGTCCTTACTGCCATTGGGGAAAATCAGCACCCAGTGTATAAGGTCTTCCTGCAGGAAAAGCAGGCTCGCAAGAGCAACGAGGCCACCTCCAGGCCCTGCAAAAAGCGCATTGGCTCCAACATAGGGAGAGGCCACATCACCACCCAACAGGAATGGTTCCAGGAGCTGGTCCGGACCAAACCTGTGCATGCGTGGGAATGGGAAGGTCTCAACCTCCGGTGTGCTCAGTGTCAACTTAAACTCCTGCACACAAAGAACCGCAAAACCTTGGAAGCACTGGCAGCGCACCAATGCACACACCAAGGCAGAGTGACGGTTGAAGGGGTACATGTTACACATGTTTTAAAACTGCTCGGGAACAGACAACTGTGGGTCTGCGAAGGTTGTGGTGGACAGTTGTCCTTGAAGACTAAAAATGTTTCGCAAAAACTTTCAGTTGCGTGCAGTTTTAAAAAGGACCCCAGGTGCAAGGCGCAGTTTAAGCCCGAGCCAACCAATGCCATCCGCAGCCTCTTTCAGCAGATGCAAGCGACAGCCCAAGTTGCAGCAAGCAGACCCCCTGTGCAAAATCCCTGAAGGCACCGGCAGCTGAAGCAACCTAGGAGGTTGCATCCTCCCAGTGAGGATAAAGTGAAGGTCATCCTCGCTACCAGAGAAGCCACTCCTGACCGATCCCCTCTAACAGCCTGCGCCAGGTGCACCAGCGGCCTTGAGGGAACTTTTTGTCAGGAGGTTCCTAACCTCTCATGAGGTACCAGCCTCTGGTAGCATCCCAAAGAGGATGATAAGCTGAGGTTCATCCTCGCTGCCAGAGAACACACCCCTGGCCGATTTCCTCTCACGGTTTGCACCCAATGCACCAGAAACCCTGAGGAACGTTTTGCCAGGAGGTTCATTCCTCTCATGAGGTACGACCTCTGGTAGCATCCCAAAGAGGATGGTAGCTTAGGAGGAGGTGTTTTTCCTCCCCCTGTACTATAGGGCCAAGAGGGCCATCAGATGTGCCAGTACAGAGGCACGGTTTTCACAACCCAAACACCAAGAAGGTGGATCGCATTTGTTCGCTCAACTCGGAAAAAAAAATTGAACCCAGGTTCTCGATGTTGTTGTTCCCCCCCCCCCCCCCCCCCCCCCCCCCCCCCGAGGGCCGGGAGGTTCGAACCCCCCCCCCCCGAACCTTGCTCAGAAGGCCTGAGCCACAATTTTGCTTAAGTCAGGTTCTAGCCTTGTTCGTTGGACCTGAAGTCTGCCGCTCTAGGCACGTTCGCGCGCGCGCGCCATTTATTTTCTTTTTTAAAATTTTCGCCGCTCCAGACGCCGCGTCCGGCGAAAAATTTGAAAAGTCGAGTCTTCCAAGCAAAGGCAATGATGAAGGACGTTCGTCGAACAGCTGTAGACATGACCACTCAAATAAAAAACTGTTGTCGTTCTCATCGATCGGCTGCTCATCGGTTCTTCAGACAGCAGCCGCTCCAGAGTTGTTTGGCTAAAGCGGCTGCTTTAAGAAACTCTTGCAACTAATTGGAGATTGCCACTGGTTCAGCTGAGCCAACGGCCTGCTGTGGCAAGAATGCCAGTTTCTCCTTTCCGTGCACTGTGCCACTGCTGCTTTTTCTTACATGCACGTTTTGTCGCTCATATTTCTCTAAATGGGCCCTCCTCCATTCAGCGAAGGAAGTCTTCAAGAAAAACTTTCAAGGGGGCTTCAAAGGGCTTCAACCTTCAAGGGGGGGCGCTTTAATCATTTTTGGTTAACCCTTCAAGCCTTCTTTCTCTTAAAACCCCTTTGAATCTTGTATTTTTCAACGGTACTTCCACGTTTCTTGTCGTTCTACTCGAACTTTTCTGTTTTTTGTATTTCGTTCTTCGAAAAATCAGAGAAGAAGAGAGAGGGATTTTAGTTTAAATTCCACCCCCTCAAATCTTGTTTTGTTTTGTCTTTCATTGTTCGAGAATTAGAGAAGTGGAGACTTTTTGGAAGTGACGGGGGTTGGGAGGGGCAGCCCCCCCATTCACTTGTTGTAGGAAAGGGTATTCTAAATTCCGCCCTTAACTGTGAACAATGCTTTGATTGATTGCTCTGCTTTTTGAACAACTGCACTGCTCCAGGGTTTTAGGTCGTGTTTCTTTGTTGGTTCGGAAAGTGCAAGGTGCAGTTTTTGCCTGCTGTAAGGTCTCCTCCTAGTCGAATCCAGCTTTTGGCAACAGCTGCCGGGCACAGTCAACAAAAACGCTTTTCTTGTCCTGCTATTTGCATTCGTTTGCTAGAGGCTTTACCCGCCAAGGTGTGGAACATGACCCGCACATGCGTCCGAATGAAATAAAATGGAAATGTTGTCGAAATTTAGAAGTGGTGTTGCAGGCCGTTGCCAAAGAAGCAGTGTAATGGTGTTGCAGTTGTCGTTTTTCATCGCAGAAGTGTTGTTCGCTAGAATTGGTTGTAGTTTGGCAGTTTCGTTGCTGAGCAAGCCGAACCGCGGCGGCACAGCTTTTCTGCGTGATGCGCAGCGCCCAAATCTTGTGCACCGGGCAGCGCAGGTCGCCAAGCACTTCCCAGGGTAGTGGCAGTCGTGGTGGTGGTTGTATGTAGTTGCAGCCAAAGGTCATCGTACAAGTGGATGTGGTCGTGTTTTCAGAGTTTGGGGTTTGGGTTGAAACTTCAGATTGGTTCTAGCCAGTAAAAGTTTTTCAGCAAGCAAACGGGAGAGTGCTTTGCACCCCGTTAGGCAAAATATCCAAATTCCTTGGCAGAGCACGAACATGTACATTTGTTGCTTCTTCCAGACATGATTGTGCATGTGCAAATCTAGCAGCTGATTTTGAGTTGACATACACATCTGTTGCTCCTTCGAGAGGGAGAGAGAGAGGGAGAGGGAGGGAGAGAGAGGGAGAGAGGGCGAGAGGGCGAGAGGGCGAGAGAGGGTGAGAGAGGGGGGGGGGGAGAGAGGAGAGAGGGGGGAGGGGGAGAGGGGGAGGGGGAGAGGCGGGAGAGAGGGGGATGGGGGAGAGGCGGGAGAGAGGGGGAGAGGGGGAGAGGGGGAGAGGGAGGGGAGGGGGAGGAGAGGGGGGGGGGAGAGGGGGCTTGACAGGATCGGCATAGGGGCCGCTGTTGCCTGCGACTTCGGGTTCGCTGCTTGCCTGCCCCCTTGCCAAGAGAGCCGCGACGTTTTCCACGCACCTGTGTTGTGTGAGGGCGAGAGAGAACGCAGTCAGAGGGCGACTGCTTGCACGATCGTGCGTCATAGCAGGCTGACCGCTGCAATGACGGGGGGGGGGGGGTGCGAATGAGGCGCCACGAACGCAGGGGGAAGCTCGACGCGTGCGAACTTCTTCTCCACGATGTCGGCGACCATGGCTGCGATGTCTGCGCCTGCGAGAGCGGTCACGGCTGCGTCCCGAGCCTGCTGGAGAGCGTCTGCGGGACCGACCAGCGCGACGCGTGCGCCGACTGCGGATTGGATACCCGCGGAGGATGATTTCCATGCCGGTTCGGCATAACGCAAGAACTTGCTCGGCCAAAGCTATTCCAAGGTGTAGTGCTCGCTCGCGAAGGTCCATGTTCCGCGCGGAGAGGAAGGGAGGAGAAGGCGAACCGCAGAGGCTGCTGATGCTCCGCCAAAAAAGAAGTGTTGAGGGCCCGGGATGGCAGGACAAACGTGCAGATGGAGGCGCAGTTGAATGCAAGTGGGCACGTGCGTGGGCCAAAAAATGGATGCGCTCCTTGTCCAGATGCCCGCAAAGGCACCGGAGAAAACAAAAAAACAACCTCCAGCTTCCGAGCTGGAAGAAGTTTGGCAGCAGAAGCTGCTCAAAAATATAGAGAAGCAGCTACCGCAGCTTAAATCAGATCAGTGTGGCACAGGCCCAAAATGACGTTATATTAGCGCTTGCCGAGACGTTGACGGAGCCGCAAATGCCAAACGTATCAGTGTCGTTGATACACCGGTACTGTCACTCCCCAGGAGACCTCTACGTTTACTGGAAGGGTGCTCATCGGGCTGACGAAACCGCAGCCCTTAGCACCACCCCTGGGGTCCCTCGTCAGTAACCCCTGCGGACCCAGGGGTGGGTCTTAATGTCTCTGAATTGTCCACAGCATTAGGACACCTCAGCTTTCGTGTGGGTAGTGATGTTTTTGGGCTGCGTTGGGGCTCAAAATTTCCAAAACCTCCAGTGGAATCCAATGCCGCCTTTCCATGGTTGTACATTTCTTGGGTTGTCTATTTGTCCAAGGTCGCCAGTACATTCACGACACGCGTCTGTGCTGCTCTCAACCAGTGCTTCAAGAACGGCCTCGAAAGACAGAGGAAGGCGTGACGCCTGCGGGCGAGCTCCCAGGCGTGCACGCCTGGGGCTCGCCTCCATCCTGTCTTCCATGCCCGGCAGAAGAAGAAGAGAGAAAGTCATGCATGTGGCTTCATGGGACAAGAGTAGTACGACTTGTTCAGTGTGAAGCAGTGGTTTGCGAAGCAATAATCGAAAAAAACAATCGAAACCCGACATGAGGAGACACAAGAAGAAAGCAAGACAAGAAATCAAAAACAATCTGGGGATCGTTGTCATTGTTGTTTAACAAAAAACTTATATCTTTTGAATCATCATGAACACCGTTACCTCTCGGTAACACATGTTTCGGCATCTCTGATCGCTAGATCTTATAATATTGCATTACACAGCTTGAATACGATAGTAAACTTAGTAAACCTTACCAAAACCATCTTGACCACTCGCTTGCAGACTGTATCATGAAAATCCTGAATAACTTACTCATAAGCCAACGATATTCTGAACTTGCCTGCTCACAAGCAAATCCAAAAAAGTCTTGAATAATTTGAAGCACTCATAGAAAGTAATATAATAGGACTGCCATCCACTCGCGTGGACTTTCCCTACTGAAGTGAAGTAAGTGTCCATGTCTAAGTTGCACGTTTCGTGTTAGGTTCGGTTGAACTTTTATTTTCAGGTTGCGTATGGAGCCCTTGTAAGTATTACATGAAAATCCGAGAGTGTTCATGTCTGCAGAGAGATGTTTTACCACTAGCGCGTTGTATGTTTTGTTGGAAGGAGGCATCTCTTCTGTGACAAGCCCCCTCCCTCCATAGCTCCTTTTCTTGGCTGCTTTGAAACCCAAGCTCCAAACATCCAATTTCCAGAAAAGCAAATTTGCAATGCAAGTCAAGAATCCAAAGTTTGCGGACAAAGTCGCATAAACAGGTTTGGATCCTTGGATTCTTGTATGAACGGGGGGAGTGGGGGGAGGCTTCTTCTACTGTAATGAAGAAGAACTACCCAATTATGGGCAAATCTATGTGCTGGCAAACGGGAGGGGGGGGGTCGGGGCGCCGGTGCTGCAGCAGGCAGGTTGTTTGTTTGGTTTTGAAGGAAAGGGCCATACCCCAAACCACCTATCCAATCAACCCGCACAACCCAAAATATAACATTCCCGAAATCCGAAAGCTCAAAACTCAAGCTTTTTCGGGGAGATCCTCTCTTGTGAGCTTTGGGGTTTTGGGTTTCGGATATTTGAACTTTGCACCCCCATGTGCCTAGCGGCCTAGCGTTGCTCGTTTTCGAAAACAGCCGTAGTGCTAATCTCGACTGTGAAACATCTTCAACAAAATCTTAAAACCCAAAATAGAAAAATTCGGATTTTTGGATTCTTGTGCTTTTTGTATTGAGGTTTAGCAAGTAGGGTTCTAAAACCTCAATTTTAGATATTTAATATTCATCAGAAATACAGAAAACGCATGTGAACATCTAACGTATACAGGAGCTTTCACAGTCGAGGTTGGTTCATTGGGGTGGAGGCGACCATACATATATCAACAGCAGATATGCTTTTGGTTATACTTTTCATGTTACATATATGGAATCAAAGAAAAGCACATGTTAACTTGGCCCGAGTTGGAAACGCTCATCTTGCCAGCCTAATTTCATGTCTTGCTTGAAATATCCGTAGCGGGTGGTAGCCGTAAGCCAACTGGCTGACAAACTCCAAGAAAGGGTTTCCTCGTTTCTTGTTGATTTCAAGAACATCACAAACGACTTGCGTAATCATCTGCACGTGCCACTTGTTTGACAGCAAGCATCAATTTTCGACTTCAGACATGCACAAACAACATCTGCGGTTTTCTGGGGTGGCAAGCAAGCTAGAAATCGCAGTGCTGTAACACATGTGCATCACGCCAAAGCAGGCAATGCTGTTGAACATTTTGGTGCGTGGGGTCCTCGCGCTTTGTCCAATATTCCAAAAGATTTCCCGATGATGTGGCGCTGGTTCCTCGTATGTGCCGCCGGACTTGTCTGTGCGTGGCAGCCTTTGCTCACGGGGTTGCGGTGAATCAGTGAGAATTACTTTGTTTGACCCGTGAGTAAGGCTTTATCATGGACATGCCCTCGCCTTCGCTTCTCCTGCACATCGAACGCCGCGAGAAAAGGTGAGCATGTCTTGTTCAAGTTGTTTTTTATTCGGCCGCGTGAGCTGTTGGTAGATTTGGTATACAATGGAGGTGGCATTGCCTCGTTCCCCATCGCGAAGGCCTGGTGCAGGACCCGAACAAGTTGGCTGGAATCAGCAAACGTTTTGCCGCACATGTCAGCTTTAACACATGTCTGCTGCGATGTTTTGCCGTGCAGTATTCGCATGTCATGTGCAAGCAAGTTTGCAGACAACACGGACGACAATTGATGCAGTTCACAGGCACAAAATGAATACCACATAGACGTGTGTCATGTTTTCAGGACACATCAATGCCAAGGCCAAAGTTAGACGGTCAAACATATGTCAACATTCAAGCCCATCTGTGAGTATGCTGGTGGATGTGACAGGTGCGATTGAATAACCTCGTGTCGAAGACCTTGCGGAGGCCTCTTCTTGCAGGGGATATTGTTCCTTGGCCTGGTTTTGCCGGGTATTGAACCGGTCTTGTTCTGAATTGTTTGCACGGATGCTTGATCACTGGCCACCAAGGTATATGAAACCCGAGCTTTCAACACGGGTTTTGAAGCAACGGTGCGAGTCCATGGCTTGGAGGTGTCGCCGTGGCATTGAAAATTTGGATTTGAGGTGAAAGTGTGACGAATCCATCTGGTCATTCCGTCTCTGGTGCAGGACTCTACGCCCTTGGAGTTTTCAGGCCAAACAAGTAGTACCCAGAACATTTGCCTGCTTTTCGGTCGTTCCGGTGTTTTCTGCAGAGGCGTCGCCTCGCAGGAGAACACGGCAGAGCTGTCAGCATGACTCTCGGACACTTCCCGTTCGCATTTTTGATCATGTGTGCGGCTCCCAAAGTTTCTGGTTCCGAGGCAGCGGCAGCCGCTGTGGCGGCTTTGCCACCCCCGCCAAGCATAGAGCCGCGGTATCCTAAACCCCAGGCGGGCAGTTTCCTGCAGAAAAGTGGTCCGAGTGGAGTGCCGAAGAATTGTCAGGATGCTGCTTCATGGGTTGCCGAACAACTTTCGGACAAGACACACGTCGAACTAGCACGCACCTTGTGACGTATGTGACATGCAAGATCTGCACCGGATATCGAACAAGTCTCAGGATTCTACTATGGCTGATGTATTGCCTACATTGGCAACGTGGCTGCATCTTGCGCTGGTGTTTGGCAACTAGTAGGCAAGGCTTTGCCGTTCAGCCAAGGCTTATGTGCATGCAGACATGGGAGCAGAAGCGCCGCACAGCTCAGGAGATAGTTGGAAAAGCCGCTGTGTGCGCAGCACACATGTTTTAATTCATGCTCATTGTATTTTACTCATATCATGTGCCTGCTGCAGGTCGTTCATCCTCGAGGAATCCGTGTGGGCTTCCGTTACCAGTTGCGTCGAACTGTGTCTGCAGCGTTCTTGATGAGTCATGATACTGCTGCAGCTTGGAAATTCGTGCTGAGATGCCAGGAGGATCCTTGCAGAGTGCGCGTTCGAAGGTCTGCTGTTCGAAGAGAGTGGCTTCCGCAGGACTTGTCGTCCCATTCGTGCCTTGCATCGCAAATTGACTTGGGCAAGTCGTGTGGCTTGCGCAGAATGTGTGCAAAGACATTGGAAGGAGGTGCGATGTGTGCTGGTCAGCCGGAAGACTCACGGCTCGAAACTGGCCGTGGCTTGTCTCATGCAAAATGTGTCACTGCTGTAGATCCTTGGATCCGGGATCCCTGCTTGGACTTGAGGCGGCTTTGCGAGCCAGGTTGCTGGGCGAGGATGGGGGCGAGAGCTATCCATGCCTGGAGTTGAAGATGGCTGGCAAGAGTGCTGCTTGGAAGCAAAGGATAGCAGTGCAGCGAGGCTGGATGAGTCTCGTACACATCAGGCTTGTAAGGAGGCTGCCATCGCGACCAAAATACTCCAGAGGTGGGGAAGATTGGGGAAGCATGTTGCAGAGCCTCGCTGCCTTGCCGCCTTGCCCGTCGTCACAGGTTTCTGCCCCAGGGGCTTGAAGTCAGTCGATCCCCTGGGCGAACATGACCAAGAGGCTTCCGTTTAATTCCCCGCTTTCCTCTCAGATCTCTGAGGCTTCAGTGCGCGCTTCGAGCAGTTCGAAGGGTACCGTGCCCGAGGTCTTGTGCTGACCATCCAAAGACAGGCAGAGAACCGCCGGGAGGGCTTTTATTTGTTTAGAAACATCTTGAAACGTTCGAAACATTTGAAACGGTTCTATACCGGGTTCTATACGATTCTTCAGATGTTTTGGCCTCGCCGCAGGACATCTCGACATAGGCCGACGTCGTCTAGCTGCTCTCGTCTCGCAGCTGTGAACTGCAAGGAATTTGCTATTTTGGGCTGGTGGAAGGTTGGCTTTGAGAATCTTTGAGCTAAGTTGCACAAAATGGTTTGTCAAATGGCTTCCGCCATGCCTCCAGGACTTCATGCAGACTTCGAGGTTGTCTCCAAGAAGGTGCTTTCTTCAGCCAGGTCACATCATGTCATTGCTCACCGTCAGGCAGGCACCAGGATTTCGAAAAAAATTGTACTAAGAAGCAGTTGTGAAGCACTTAGTTAGTTTGTCAAGCCCCTAGTGCTGCGCAAGACGTGTCTGTGACGTGCGTGCAGCGGAAGCAGATTGCCAGCAAGTCACATTCGCATGACAATCTGTTGGAAGTACTTGATTGGGCCCAAGACGCAGCAGAGCCGCATTTCTCGGCCCTTGCAGTAGCTGACATGGCGAGTGATTTTCAAACGGGTCACCGTACCCATAATTGTGGAGAGCTTCGGCAGCTGGGCTAATCGAAGTGACTGCCAGCCAGTGATCGCCAGTTGAAGGTCCGTTGCGCGTTGTGCTCCGATGTCTGTTGAGGAAGGAACATGTGGGCCAGCCCGTGACAGTCTCTGGCTGGGTGCAGATGTCCCGGGACATGAACCACTTTGCTTTTGTGGATCTTCGAGACCGCTACGGCATCACTCAGGCCTGGTGGGCTGCGAAGTTTGTGAGCGTCATGCAAAAGTTATGTGAGCACATGGGTCGATGAGAGAACATGCCTCTGTTTCGCTTTTCTCGCAAGAACTAGCGCATCCTGAGCTCAGGTCGTGTTTCCCAAAGCTTCTTGGCATGCTGCAAAAGTATGCATGTGCACATGGGCAGCGTCGCAACTTCAACTTCGGAGATCTTCGGAGATTGTCAGGATGGAGCAGACGAAGCGGGCCTCCAGCGCTACGAGCAGGCCCGAAACCTGGGCCGCGAGTTCGTTGTGAAGGCCAGGTTCCTCCTGACTCCTGGCGACTGTTGTGTAAATGGTCGAAGTCCAAGAACGCTGCTTCGCAGAGGTGACCGGAAAGGCGCCTTCCCGCTGCTGAGAATGCCACAGGAAAGGCTCGATGGGTTCTTCTTGCCTCCCGCAGGTGGTGGAGCGCATCAAAAAGAATGCAGACAGACCGCTCTCGCCTCGGCTAGTCCTCGGCCTGTCAGTTGCTTGAACTTGAAAGAAGCGAGGACGGGTGATATCGAGATTGTGGCAGACCAGCTCCAAGTTTTGCTCCTTGCATGCAGCTTGGGAGTATGATTCGATCAAATGGCACCCCGCCATCTCTTTGCCCGTTGCCAAGCTGTGTGCTGGGAATTCTCAGGAATGCCAGCTCCACGCCTCCTTTCAAGATTGAGGATCAGACAGATGCCAACGAGGAAGGGTCGGCACGAGAGTCGGCGTGACCCAGCATCTTGTGCCATCTTTTGCAAGGATACTCGAATGCGGTATCGTCGCTTGCCTTGGACAAAAGTGTGTGTGTGTGTGTGTGTGTGTGTGTGTGTGTGTGTGTGTGTGTCTGTGTCTGTGTGTCTGTGTCTGTGTCTGTGTGTGTGTGTTCACTGGTGTGGCCAATTTGACACGCTTTGATTTAAAGACCATCGCTAGCTGTGACTTTTCAAAACACAAGCTGGGCAACTCACCTGACATCACGAGGATATTTGGACATTCGGCGGAACCCTATCAAGGATGCAATTCTCCTTCGCAACAGAGTGACGCGTCAGGTCAGAGAGTATCTTGGTTGAACCAGAGATAACCAGAGCTTGCATCTTTGATTCAGATTAGAGTAAAGCAAGAAGCGGAGAATCATCCGAGTTTCCTTGGAGACCTGGGCTTTTGTGCTTCTTGGCTGATCTTACGTAATCGGACAATGACGATGTGCACATATGGTTCCCGGCCAGGAAGTTGAGACACCCGTCCTCATCAAGTCCACGCCAGAAGGGGCTCGCGACTTCGTGGTACCTTCCCGAATGAACCCCGGGCGACACGACTCAAGTTACCGATTCTGGCCGATGTTGCAAGTGCCCTTTGCTGCCGTGCTGATCTGCACTAAGCGTTCCATAAAAGGCAATTTTATGCTCTTCCTCAATCTCCGCAAACCTTCAAGCAGCTTCTGATGGTGTTCTGCTCAGACTCATCGACTTTGCGAGATGTTGCATTTTGCGGCAGGCACATGCAAGCACCACTGAGGTGGGGGGCCTTGACCGCTATTTCCAGATCGTGAAGTGCTTTCGCGACGAGGTGCTGTCCATGTCATCTCAAATGCACAGAGCTTGCCCCGTTGGGTCAGATTTCCCAATTTTTTCAGTTGCCAATTTCATTCAATGTTATGATTTCCCGGAGAGCAGAGTGGGACACAGCGATCTGCAGGAACTGCGGGCTGACAGGCAGCCAGAATTCACACAGATTGCCCTTCGGCTGAAGCAGTGCTGTGAGATTTCTTGTGACATCAATGGTACCTTGTGGAGTCATTTGAGAATGTGAGACTGTTAACGGAACTGAGGACTGTGAAATGTCTTTCGTCCAGCAGGCACGTCAAGTTACTATAAGTTACTCAAGTGTTTTCGCGTTGAGCCGTGTCGCTGCACCTGCAGGAAGATGTTCTGCAAACCTTCGAGGGCATGATCCGGCAAATCTTCAAGAGTTTCCTGCAGAAAGTGTAGGGGGACAGTCATGGATCCTTGCGTCAAGCAGTGCAGGGCACGCATTGTTACGGGCAACTGTATACCAAGAGTCGGTGAGTAAAGCTGTGTCACCATTGTGCGCAGTGAGGCTTGTGCGGCGCGGCCCTAAGCCACTGTGGTGCTTCAGTCGGCTGAAGTTCCTGGACTGCAGAGGCCACGAGTTTCCGCCTTTTCAGCGGATGGAGTATAGTGAGGCAGGGACATGCAGGGACAAGGAGAGCATTGCTTTATTTGCTTTCCTCCAGCGCAGACGCACCAGGCAATGGATCGGTTTGGCATCGACAAGCCTGACTTGCGCTATGACATGGAGCAGCTTGGCCATTCCCCCTTGAGAGCGTAGCACGAGCACCTTTCCGCTTGCTAAGGCTGGTAGACCTGACTGAGGCTGCTTGTCTGCAATGCAGACTCTTAAGAGGCTCGTACTTGAGACTGCTGTTGGTCTGACCATTGGAGGTAAGCAAAGGCAAGAACTTCAAGGTGGGATGACTTGAATGACCATGACTTCTGACTCGTGGAATCACGCAGAGCACGGTGTCCATGCGTGGTTGCGTGCCTCAGATGTTTGATGATGCGGAGTTGGTTGTGGGCATGTGCTGCAAGGTACGCATCCAAGTGGTGATATTTTAGATGTTGTACTTGCCCCCTTGCAAGACGTTTCACTGATTTTGTGCGAGTGTGGAAGGGCATTGGATCATGGTCTGGCAAGATGCTTGCCTGCAAGTGAAACGAAGCTGAACATCTCAAGTGACGTCGCAGACCTCCCTACCAAGGAAGGTGAAAGAGCTGGAGAAGAAGGCAACAGGACAGGAAGTAGGCAGATCCCCTTGTAAAGTTGCATCTTCGAAAGGAATGGAGCCCCCTTTTGCGCCCCCTTGTGCTCTTTTCTGGGAGGTGCAAGTGCCCTAGTGTGGCTGAAGATCAACCCTGATGGAACATACGACTGCTCTGCGAAGAAGTTTTTTGCCGACGAGGAAAGGGGCCAAGTCGAACACAGGGGCTTGTAGGCTTGCGCTCTACTTCCGCCAGGACTATGTCAAGTGGGTCGAGAAGCTTGAATACATTCATTTGCAGCTCTTGCAGATCATGTAGCTGTACAGGGCACTGAGAGATGTGAGGAAGGCCAACGCGAAGCCGGGCGGCTGTGGCCCAGGGGACCTCCTGCTCATTATCGCAGGCGCGTGCTCACTTTGACTGTTCAGCTGAACGCCCTTTCAATTCTTGCTGACGTACTGTCCGAGCCTCCAAATTGCTCGCAGGGTCCAAGCTGAAGACGCCTTTCTGACGCAAAATATCACGAGATGTCAAGTTTCTCAAGTTCATGTTCCTGATGTTCCTGGAGTCCATGCTTTGAGGCAAGAGTCTATGGGGAAGTTCCGGCACCTCATGGGAACAGAGCTAGGCCATCCGTGTCGTGCATTTTTTGCTTACCTGCGTGGCTTGTGTTCTTCCCCAGGCTTGCGCAGCGAAGGCTTTCGGGCACTCTGGGTTGTGCCTGCTCCTTATGACACCCAAAGGGCTGTTGGGTCACCAACTTACACTTCCTGCGAGGAACTTCCCCATGTTGGAGTGGGACGAGGATGAGGCAGATGTTTTTTTGGTTTCTGTTTTTCCACTGCGCGGCTTAAGCTTGCAGTGGCCTGCCTTGTAAGCCAGCAGCTGCAGCAACCGACGGCACATCGCCACAGGAACGATTCACGGCAAAACACCATCCTTTCACTTCACCCTGGACGGAGGAGTTTGAAGTGTGCTGCCCCTTGAGGTGTTTCACAATGATCATGGCAATCTAGATGCCATCTAAATGGCTGTGCAGGACATCGAGAAGATGGTTAGTTTGGTGCTCGGCCACTGCAGTCTGCAATCTGCGCATGTTGCCATTTCGCCTCTTTGCTGAGGCCTAGACCACAAAGATCCCAAACTGGCGGAGGCAGCACACAACTTTCCTTGCAGGCAGAGTGCAAGGGCGACCTGCGAAAGGTAAGAGCCAACGCCTATGACATGGTGATCAATGGTGTTGAGGCTTCATGTGAGCTTATGGTGCGAGATACATCTGTCGAGTGCTCACGACAAGGTTGGTGGTGGGTCTGTCAGAATTCATGCTGCTTGGCTGTCCGGCTTCTTGGTCACAGTTTTTCATGTGTTCTCCTCCAAGCTAAGGAGCGGTCTTTGCAGGAGAAGGTCTTCAGCGTGCTTGGCTTTAGCAAAGAGGAGGTTCCGAGCCCCATTTAAATGCCAGGATTGCTGCTATTATGTTCTGCTTCTCAGTTGCTTCTCCTCTGAGGCATTGGCGCAGTTCGGCTTCCTGATGGGCGCTTTTGAATACGGAGCGATGAATGTGTAGCAGCTCCGTGAGTTCCTGCCGTGGATCAACGGGTGATGGCTGCCGCGCAAGGAGCTCCGCCCCATGCTGGATTGGCATTTGGGCTGGACAGGCCAGAAGAGACGCCTCCCCATTGAAATGATTCGCTAGAATTAAAGTGAAAACTGCGGCCGACGTCCTCCTCAACTTCTCATGAGGGCTTCGCAAGCCCGTCTTAGAACTCAAGTGAAGTAGGTTGAGCGAACGCTGACAGGCGACAGGAAGCACAACAGAACGAACACAAGCATCAGGAAGAGTAATTGCAAAGCTGAGCAACATGAGCACCGACAAAAGCCGTAACAAGAGCCAGCAGTGCTGGCCATGATTTATGATCATCATCTTCAAGCCGCGTGAGGGGAGGGCAAGATTTGTTGGAGGGTCTTTCCCATAAGGAGCAAAACTTTGATTTCGTGTGGCGGCCATTCAGCCTCCTAGAAAACAAGGCTTACTTTAGTGTTCCAGCCCAAGCCAGTACGCTTCATAGCGATCAATTGCTTGGAGTTTAGGGTTTAGGTTTTGGGGGACAACAATGCGGAGCAATATGATTCGTTTTTCTCTCCCGCACGTAAGCTGCTTCTAAGCCATGTACTTCCAGCTCTCAAGCATCTCGTGCCAATGGCACCTCCAGCCTTCCAGAACGCCGCAAAATTGAGCCTCCCCAGCTTTCCTTAAACAGTTCGCGTTCGCTTGGGTCTTGGACCAATTGGACAGGCTCTGCACAATCATTGGTGGCAAGGCAAGGATGCAGAAACGGACGAATCATGCAGTTGCTCTTTGACCCGTTGCTTTTGTCACCAAGGCAACGATTCGTGACTTCATTGCATTCCCCAAGAACAACATGGGTGTGTTGCTCAGAAGTTAATTGCCCAAGGGTGTGTGTATTGTGTGTCTGATTGAATCTTGTGATTCTGCATCGTCGCATCAGGTCGAGACACGATGATCAACACACCTGCGGCGATCACATCAGCTCAGCACCCGCCCCAAATCATGTCGTTACACAGGCACGCATAGACGACACGCTTTCCAAATCTTGCCCTCTTGCTAGTGCTCAAGAAGAGAAACCTGTACTGGCACAAGGTTGGCTGAGCTCAGCATCACCACGACAGTCGATGAGGATTGTCGGTTTTCATTTGTGGGCCTTCCTCGGACATGACTTTTGTTTAATTCTGCATCCTGCCCTCTGTGCGCAGGAGGGAAAACCGAAGGTCTTGAGCTCAGCAGTAGTACAGCTGCTATACATAAGTTTGACTATGACAGTCATGTTCTTGGTGAGGCATCTGGTTATCCTGCGTGAGGAAGGAGTAAGAGAGATGCAACAGCTTAAGGCAAGCCAAAGGCTTTTCCTGTGGGACCAGCTCTGCTTGTTTCCTGCAGCTGCTGCCCCCACCTGGCGTGGCCAGCACATGCCTTACCCCAGCATACCACTTCGTACACGTGGAATGGGGGTATGGGGGGAGTCCGTCCAGCACCCACCGATTTCGACGTTTTGGTCGCGACGAACGCGTGATCCAAATCCACATGTCCCTAGAAGCGCCTGGGGATTAGGTGTGCATAGGTGTGCATAGGTATCCATTATGCCATAGTTGTCCATAGCGTCATGTCGAGCTGCCTGAATCTGGGAGAATCTCGGAGGTTGGCTTTATACATGTGGCCAAGAGCAGAAGCTTGTACAGCTTGGCAGGGATGTTTGATCTCTGGCGGATGTTTGAGGCCAGTGTGAACAGTTGCTTCTGCCGCGCATTGCGAAAAAACTTGCTGCGAGTGGGTCGAGGAAGTCATGTCCAACCCCGTGCCTACGAGTCTTTAGGCTCCCTCTTGCCTGAGAATTTGGTGTCGAATCCTTTGACATTTTCGCCGGAAACGATTGTTCTCAGACTCGTACAGATGGCAAGTGTGTCTTCTGCAAGTAGAAAGATTCGACGTGTGTGTCCAGAGATGTCTGAAGATCGTTCGTATTGATTTCAGATGTTTGCTGACTTCCTTTATGCAAGGTGATTTCAATCGCAGCTCAGGACTGGCCCTCGTTTATATGCATAATTGTATATGTATGCACGTAGTACCACGACACCAAGGCGGTTTCCTACACAGTGAGCACTCCGAGAAGCTTGCGAAGCTTGCAGGATTCTGCAGTGCAGTTGGAGCAGCCCATCGTCCAAGGGCAGGGGGCTTGCAAGCATTCGAAAGTTTTGATGCACCCCGTGTCCGCGACCGTTGGAAGAATCCCAGGCCGCTGAAGGTTGCAACTCCAACATCCTGCATCTACAGTCTGCTTCGCTGCAAGGTTCGGTGCTTCTGCACTTTTCTTCCCAAGAGTTTGGATTGTTTGATGTCCTGTTAAATGCTCACGTATCCCATGGTGCACCAATGACTGTATTTTGGGCTCGAACATATTGAAGGGGAAGTTCCGAAAAAGTTTGGACAGTGCGGCCGCCACCATGTCCATTCCGGTGGGCAGACCCCGTGAATCTCTGGTCTTGAGCTTAGGACTTAGGACCCTTTTTGCATCGTGCCGGTACGTTGCGTGCCATGCTGTTACGTTGCAAGCCATGTCTAGCTGCAAGCAGGTCAAGTACGACCCACCTTTGGAGTTGGGCCCTGCACCTTCCGATGCTGTCGGCCGCAAGGGCAACAAGCCTCCCAAACCGAACTCTTTGAAGGCTCGCCCAAAGATTCATCAATGCTCCAACGAACTGCGTTGCTTGCCTCCTGGATGAGGCACAGCTGGCACGGAAGACACAGTTGCCGCCAGCAGAATCGAAGCCCAACACGGATGATGTTCTGCCGTCTGCTCGCAGCTGGGGGCTACGGTTCTGTCACGTGCATTAGCCATCCGCAGCTGACATGAAAGGCACGCGCTGCTCCCACCTCGTGTCTTATCTGATCGATCAAGTGGGTTCCAGGGACATCGCCACATCCGCCGCTTCGGCTCGTATGCTCTTGTGGTAAGGTGAGTGGATTGAGGACGGCAAGCATTACCAGCAGTATGCAACCTGGCTACTGTTGGAATCATGAACTTGACAGGATCTGTGATTGCTCAATCGGGACATGGTGCAAGTTGCAAGCCACTGGGTCAGTACCATGTGGGAGATGATAGCGAACCCCGCGTGCTGGCATATAGCTTTGCCACGCCCCTTAACTTCAGGAGTTGCACCGGGCATCGACTTATAAGATGAAGAATGACGAAGAACATTTGGTGGTGGGGTTGGGGGGGCATTTGAGGGGACCAGGCTTCTTGGCACCAGGCATCTCATCGATTCCCGCAGTAAGCAGCCCGCTTAGAGAATAATCGATTCCAGTACTGAGCCTGCGCTGCAAGTGAACGAAGCCCAGCCGGTCCTGGAAACGCCGATCCATTAAAATCCAGCCAGATCACAGAACTGTCGCCAATATTACGTTGTACTACAAACCTGAGAAAAGCCAGCCGGCTTAGGGAACCATCGATTCCTGTCAATGCTGCGGCTGTGGGTTTGAGAGCTGTAGTTGCCTAGTCGAAGTTGCCTAGTCGGTTTCCGGCATGCTAAAAAGTATACTCTACCATAAGGAATGCACTCTGAGAAGGCGTGCAAGGGGCATGCGCATTGAAAACAGGTCTTTAGGCTTTCCCATGTGGACAAGGTGAGCAATCAGCCGGCCACGCGCCTGGATGTCATCCAGCTGCAGGAGGCGTTGGACCAGCGGCTGATGGAGCGTCAGGCACTGGCCAAAACCGGAAAACTCTTCAAATCGGAGTTTGCATGTGACCTCAGCGATCTCTCTCTGCCTGTTCTCTTTCTGTTCGTTTGTCTACAATCAGAACTCTTGGTTCTTGTGTATTGCTTCCTGGCAGCCCGTGTTCAAATGTGAAGAGACTCTGAAATAATCTATCCGACAGCAACAGAAACGAAACTGAAGGATTCGAGTCCGGGGCTCATCTTGGTGTTCTTGATTGCTGGGGGTTGTTTTCTGGGGGTTGCTTTCCCAAACACTTTCGCACGAGACCCTTTTGTAATTGATGGCCCATAACATTCACGAGCATCTAGGGAATCCAGGGTCTTCGTTCCTGTTTCTGTGTGGCCCCGTAAAACATTCCTCAGATAATCTAATCATATCTCATTGACTCACAATTTAAATAATGACCCCAAACGGCAACACTTGCGTTTCACCGTGGCAGCAGCAAGTCTCTGGTAGTGGTTTTTACTGAGAAAACCCCTCTGCTTACGTGGTATTCCTTCTCTAATGAAAAGATGGCTTCATGTGGACCTGAGAACCATGTTGTTGCGAGTGAGAAGATGGTGTTCCTCAGGAAATCCTTGCAATGGAGCCAATGCGTCAAGAAGATAAGAGGGATGTACCACAATAGGATGATAGAAAGGGCGGCCGCTGGCAGGTCATGGCCGGGGGCGGGGGGGTTGTGTCCAGCTATGTATACAGTATACCTATCCATAGATACACAAGAAAGTTGAAGAAGTTGGTCAGGCTCGCGAGACTGGGATCTGCCCAGTTCGAGAGGAGCTTTACTCTCAATGCTTTGATGAGCTTATCCGTCAGGCGCAAGCAGTGGCGATGCGGTGCATGCCTTGTGTACTTGTGCTTTGGCTACTGTTCACAGATGTACGAGCAGGTGACAATCAACTGTCCTGAACGTGGACTTTTGCTGCTGCGCGTGCGTGATGAGATCCGTATGTCTATCGCGGCATACCAGACACTGTACCAGAGCAGCCCTCAACTCAGATGCATGACATGTTTGGCGATTGCTGGTTTCTTTCAGCCCATGTGAAGTTCAGTGTGCGGAGGTGTGACCTTTGGCACGCGAAAACAACTGCAGTCCGAGCAGGGCAAGGCAGAGACGGAGCAGATGATTGCCGAGCATGAGGAACAAAAGAAGCAAAGAGAGGCACGGTGCCGAACAGCGCAGCATAGGCTAGTTGCCACGCAAGCATTCGTTAAGTTCTCAGGCGCGTGTTGTGGAGCTCAAGAACAAATGCGAAGCCATTGAGCGCCGGGAAGCGGAACGTCGGGCGGTGGATGAGCGCAAGCGGAAAGAAGAAATAGATTTCCTCAAGCGCCTGGATTGGCAACTGTCGTTGTTTAGTGTGCTGGGCTGCTTGCTGGCCGGAAGAAATCTAGACTGCAAACTCAGGCATCAGCAGCAGCACTTGGAGTCGTTCCTGAAGAGTCACGACTCAAAGTGAGCAAGTCCGATGCTTGATTGCCGTAGACGCCAGCTGCATTCAAAGGGGTTCTGGCAGCTTTCTTGACCTCTGCAAGAGATCATGAGTGCATGCATTTCGTCCTCTCAGGGTCGAAACCGGCCTTCAGAATGTTTCACCCGAACTGGCTGTTTTGTTGCTCCCAGGAAAGAGCTGAGCGCATGCATCACATCACGTAGGTAGGGCTCAGGATTCATGAGGACCTTCTGACGCGCGCTGATGGGAGAGCGATAGGTTTCATGGTGCATGAGATGTGATCTGAAGGCTCGCTGCGATCTCCTGGCTGCTGAGCTCGGCTGGTCCCAACCAGATCGAACGAAAAATGAGAATGTCGCGATCTGCATGCCTACATGCACGGCGAGTTCTCCATAAAATACATACGGGCAGGAGAAATGAAGAAAGGAGGATCAAAATTATATCCTCAAGATTATAAATCCATTCCTTTCCAACTCACCGGGAATCTCGAGAATTCGAAGAAATCCAAAAGTTGAAACCAAGACGAAACAATCACGATATACGTTCTACAGGAATTGAAGGCCTTCATTGTCTAGGGTCATAATTTTTTTTTGGATATTGGGACAAGGAAATCAGAAATCATAATATTTAATAATTCATTCTTAAATGGAGAGATTTTTCGGCGTAATATATACACTGGACTGAAGGAGATCATTGGATCAATATTTCGTGGAGAGTCACGACGAGCAAGCAATAACCTCGGTGTGGGCTCGAATATTGGAGGCTAATGCCGTGCGAGAATCTTGTAATCTTAGAAATATCCCCATACAAGGCTACGGGCTCGATCCCTATTTTCGCTCTGCGGCCGCGCTGTCGGATGCTCCGCCTCCTCTTCCGGTCGATTTGGCTGCTTGTGAGGGCCTTGCAGGGGAATCTTGAAAATTCCCGGAATTTTAACGCTTATTATCTAAAAATCCTGGGAATTTTGGGAATCACCCGGA